GCTTTTGAGATTCATCATGTCATGGAGGATGCAAATATCTGTTTTGGAAAATCAGTCTATTTCTAGCCTAGATTTTTGGTTATGTGGGCACTAGAGCACTGTACTGTACTGTTCACTTGATCTGTTCAATGACAGCAAGCTCTTTAGCAGCCATAATTCCTTGAATCTTTTTCAGATTCAGAAATTCGAGTGCCCTTTTCAGATGCTGGTAAAGACATCATGTATATTTCATGTCTTAATATATGAAGTTAAACAAGTCATCAGTATAGAACCCGATACTTGTTCTGTAGCCAACTGTCCTCTCCCAAATGTTCAGAGACAGAGTTGTCTACAAAACACAATATTTGTGGAACAGATTTTTTTAATTATGTACTCAGACAGTTTTGCTTTTCTCCATCTGTATATTCAGAGGTACTTTAGAGAGGAAGCATTAATAGTGCCTGTGTAGTAAGGAGATCACTGGGTGGCACAGCAGATAAGCTGGCTGCCCCCAGGGTTTCCCAACGTGTTCAATGCCTGCTTTCCTCCTGTTCTGCAAAATCTGTCAGACCCCAGAAATCACTTTTGGCAATTGCCTGCGTGTGAGCATTCAGCTCTAGGTGTTTCGTTGCAAGGCGTGCCAGAAATGCTGCTCTGCCCAGGAACTTCAGGGCACTTTATTCACAGCTGAAACCACACTGCTTAAGCATAGTCAAAGATGAAAGCAGGTGAGAGTCCATGAGGCAATGCCCTGTACCTGGTGCAGAATGACAGCTCCCAAGGGAAAAGCGTGCACGGGACCTTAACATAATTTAGACACAGCAGGCTACAATTTCCTGTGCAGTATTTACAAGGTTTTCCAGGATGTTTCATTAGAGAAGCAATTCCCAAAAAGCATATGCCGTGTGCCATGCTGTTCTTGTTTGACACATCTGACAAAAAACCTGTTAGTCATTGCAAGGTGATGTCTCTGACCTGCAGGAGGACACATAGCCCTGGTTTGAAGAACAACAGATGGGAGACAGCTCTCACTGCAGTCTTTTGTACACAGTGAGTAATACCTAACTAGCCTGGATTGCTCACCCTTTTCTGTTAAAGCCTTGATTTCTAATGAAAATTAAATTTTGCATTTGCATAGTTTGTTGGCCTAGTCATCCTTCTCTCCCCCTTTCCCTCTCTGTTACCTACTGAACTTGCCCGACAGGAGTGAAGTTTAGAAGACTGGGAGTCCACGGTTACATGTGCTTTTGGAAAACCTGCAGTCAGGTAGAGAGGAAATCAGATTTGCCTCCCCCTTGACAGCACACAGCCTGAACATCTGGCTGGGATTTCAGGACCTCCTGAGTCACTGTTGTGATCCTGGTCCTTCCAGACCAGTCCAAGCACTGTTACCTCATCCTTGGTGTGGCATCCTATGGGGAACAGGGTATTGAGGAGGGGGTACTAAGGGGGTACCATTCCTGCAAGAGGAGCAAAAAGAGGGGAGCTCTGCTACTCATCTGAAACATTTTTTTTCCCGATGGAGCTTTTGTTCCAGCTGGCTGTCACTGAGCATTTCTGCAACTGCTCACTGGCCTGCTGCAGGCATGAGCCATATGCTGGTTTAAAGTCAGTCCTTTGAAATTTAGGATCTTAGCCCAAACTGCTGCTTAGGAGTGAATAGAGCCACTCTAGGATAGATGGCGTTGAAGAAACCTGTAGATCTGATTGGGGGACAGTACAACAGCACAGACTTTGTGATCTGACTGGAAGAGAACAGGGGGATCTGAGCTGCCTCACAAATGACACCTTCACAAAGCTGCCAGTGATCAGGCACAGCTCCAGCAATACAGTCTCCAATGCATGCGGAGCTGGTGTGTTAACGGTGTCAGCCAACAAAAAGGCTGGAAGAGGGTTTAGTGGGGGCTCAAAAAAACACAGAGGTGATAAATGAGGTGGCTGCAAGAACTGTTATTCACCAAACCCTGATCACTTAGAAAATGAGTAGACTGGTCTGAGGGGGACAACAGAAAGTATTTTAATAAGTAATAGAAACTGAATTTCTGAAATGTGCTGCCCTGGGAAGGAGTCATCACCAGGCTTCAAAATGGTGCACACAGATCTGGACAACAGGTCCACAAACAGGAAGCAAAGTGAGTAGGAAAGGATGTAGCTTTCAGCATTCCTAATCCAGCCCTTGTGGGTGCTGGGAGTAGATGAGAATATCCTACAGAGATGGCAGCGTGCTCTCCCAGGCTCATGTGCAGTGAAGCACATGGCAGAGCCAGAGGGGATCCTGGTCTGACCCTGCCAACACCTTTGTTCTTCTTCTGCCTTGACTGCAACAGCTACAACTCAGAAACACTCCACAAGTCTGCATAAAGTCCTGGGTGGTGTTTTACACATAATAACGTTAAGTTGTGCTTATGATGTTTCTTGAGGCTTTCTTTGAGAGAATAGTTTTCCCTGTCACTGTGTCTTTTTATTTTTTTCCTATGGCTTTAGCAGTCCTTAAACTCCATTTCCTCTTAGGGGAAATTGTAATCCTCTCAGCAAAAGGGAATAGAAGGGAGAAATTATTAAGAGTTATTCCTTTGCCTCAGCTTTGGGAAGACTGATAATACATGAGGAATAGCAAAGACCATATACATATGGTCACTGTTTGGAGAGGGCTGA